TTTCGTAAAACCGTGGGGTCCGCTTGCAGGCCCTTCCTATTTTCCTCCCCACTCCCCGCTCGGCCGGCCCTCACCAATCCCCTTAGGGCTGCTACGCAGGCTATTTGTTCATCCATTCGCTTGTTCATCCATCCATTTGTTCATCCATTCATTTGTTCATCCACTCATTTGTTCATCCATTCATTTGTTCATCCATTCATTTGTTCATCCATTCATTTGTTCATCCTGTCATTTGTTCATCCTGTCATTTGTTCATCTATCCATTTGTTCATCCACTCATTTGTTCACCCATTTATTGTTTCATCCATTCATTTTTTCATCCACTCATTTGTTCTTCCATTCATTTGTTCATCCATTCATTTGTTCATCCATTCATTTTTCATCCATCAATTTGTTCATCCCCTCGATTGTTTATTAATTCAGTTGTTCATTCAGTTGTTCTTCCATTCATTTGTTCATCCATTCATTATACTTACAATATTAAGCTATACACTAATCCCTTTGTTATTATTATTCTACAGGAAGTCAAAGTTTTCAGTCCAGATTACAAGCAAGTGGACAAGGAGGAGGCTTACAGTGACTTTTTGGAGAGAATCAAACACTATGAAGAAGCTTATGAACCTTTGTGCTTAGTACATGACGGGTGGGTTATAATAATGTCTAAAAAATGAATTCAAATATGTCAGAATGTCTTTAAACTCAATGTGCATCCATCCAAGTATCGTTGATGGGAGTTTCTTGCTTGCGAAAAATTGGCATCTTGGATTTTAAACCATTTAATGAGCAAGCAGCTAAGTTTAACAAAAGACATTTTTTGGATCAAAATAGACAACTGCAATAAGCTCTTTGATGCAAGAGGGTCTTTGAAGTTACAGTGCAAATCGAAAAGTCGTGACCACCTGGAAATATTTTGGGAATGTGTAGTTAAAAGTGACTTTAGCTGACTTAACAAGAAAACATGAAAGCCATAAATGAACAATTACTTTGTGCTTATTCTAAATACCGAAATTGTACTATTTGTGAGCTTTTACAGGCCGTTTTTAATGATAAACTATTTTTATTTATTTGTAAACGTTGAAGTTTTGATTAAATCTGCATGTGAAAATGCACTTGATGATGGTTGATCTCGCTTCTGATTGGTCATGAATGAACAGTGGCTGCAGCTTTTCGATTTGCACTGTGATAACTGGATGTCGTTAATGTTTTCAGTGACATGTCGTTTATCAAGATAATAAATGCTGGTGAGCAGTATCTTGTCAATCATATCGATGGTAGGTGGCAGATATTGATTAATTATTATTGATATAACATTAAATAATAGCTTAAACTAATTGTAACTCAGTTAGAAAAGAGACAACTTGCACATTAATTGATTGCCGTGGATCTATTCACGACTTTCAAAAATGGTGCCATATATCACGGTTGCTGACCAGGGCATTCAGAACAAAGCACTTAAACAAGGTCTCAAAGGCCATCCTCTGTAAACTTCGATGGTGTCTTGCAAGAGTATTGTGTAATAAATAATATGCCAAAACGCCATTCAAACTTTTKGACATTACCTACATGCAATCTTTTTAGTGATTTCTAGATGGAAGGCCTTTGAGGTCTTGTTTCCATGATTCGTCACTAGTCTGACAAAATTGACAGTCATGAACTACAACCATTTTTGAAAGTTGTGTATGGTTTACCAATAGATTGCAATACATTTTGACTGCTTGGTCATCATTATACGCTGATGGCTTGCTCATTGACTGTCAGTATATAAGACTGCATGTACCAATATACGTTTTCCAACATGGAAGTTTGTGATGCTTGCTTGCTTGATCAATAGTCTCCTTCACGGATACCTGCGTCATCTTGAAAGGTAGCCGTGCCTTTGCATCGAAGCAAGACGACCGTTGAGCGTGCAATGATAGATAACTGTGAATAATTGTCTGTAGGTGTGAAAGAAGGTTTCTATCATTGCACGCTCAACGGTCGTGTCGCTTCGATGACAAGGCACGGCTACCTTTCAAGATGGCGCAGGTTATCCTGAAAGGGGACTATTGTAGGGCATAAATACTTATGATTATAATTGATACCTACATGTATTATTTGACAATTTTTTTGTTATTTTAACATTAATATTTCATGTAATTTTTTTTTACAATTATTCCAGGTTACTTACAAAGTAAAGTAGTGTACTTCTTAATGAATCTTCATATCAGGAAAAGGTCCATTTATCTTGTTAGGGTATGTGATTTATCAACCATCAGTCCCTTTGCCAATGGGAAAAAATATCCGTCCATTTATTACAGGATATTACATTGGTGTGCGGAGATACGGATTTTATCTTTCAGTGTTGAAAAGATCTGAATGATTTAGAGATATTCAACATGAGAAGATAAAATTCTTATCTCCAAGTGACCATGTAATATTCTGTTTATTATATAATTATCTATGAAAGCAAATTATGTTTTAAACAACTTTTCTTTACTTCCAATATAATAATAGCGATATCACAAATGTGTTAAAAAACTTTACAAAATGGAGAAATATAGGTATATCTATTTGTTCTGCCATTATCAATTTAGCATGCTGAGTGCCAAGATAATGTTCTGAAAAAGATTGGTGGGGATTCTGACTTGACTGTTGAGGGTGATAAGGTAAGTAAGTTGGATAAAAGTCCACAAAAGTGTGAAACAATAGCCGAGTTTAGATATTTTGGTTCAGTGACCATGCACAAAAGAATTGCAGACGAGGCTCCGGGGAAATAAAGAATAAATCAAGATTATCCATTGATAATTTTTTTTTTTTTAATATTGCAAAGAGGTATTTTGAAGTGCACGCTTCTAAATGACCAATCAAAGAGCGTATAATATCGTTTTATTCTTTATTTCCCCGGAGCCTCGTCTGCAATTCTKTTGTGCATGGTCACTGAACCAAAATATCTAAACTCGGCTATTCGTATTAATTTAGCGCTGATGATCTCAACAGGTTGCCAGGGCTATTGGAGAGTTTGTTGACAAGAAAGCTGGTTTAGATTTGAAGGTAAAATCAAACAATACTCAAACGATAAAATAATATAGATAATAATAAATATCTTTGACATGTTAATGTTAGTATTTTTGTATTGTCAGGTCTGGACCAGTCAGTTAAAAAGAGCAGTTTCTACAGCAAAGTATATCAGCAAAGTACCAATAGAGCAATGGAAAGCACTTGATGAAATGGACTTTGTACGTACCCTTGCTAAATTAACATTATAATTATTTACTGGTATTAATTATTATCAATTTATGTTAATTGCAGGGGGAATTTGATGGAATGGACGAAACAGAACTAGAAGCTATAGACCCTGAAGAACATAAAGCCATGCAAAAAAATAGATTTGTGTACAGATACCCTAGAGGAGAGGTTAGACTCTTATGATATGAACATATTATGCATCTGTAATATCGTACTTTGAATTTGTTAGCACGTCAAGCTGCGTCCTTCACAATTCAGCATCCTGCTGCTATGTAGGACGATTAATTAGCACGCATCGCCTTTATAATTGAGTGGTTAATATTGTTGTCGTTGTTAGTATTAAATTTAACATAGTGATGTTGATTGAAATGATGAGAGGGATTCTAAATAATTAATAAATCATAAATGAATGCTAATAATATTTTAACCATTAAATCACACACTACAAAATAATTGATATTTGTTAGTATTACTATATTTTATGACTAAACAATGGAAAAACTTGATATATTTCGTAAAATTTAAAATTATTTAAACCTGTAATATTTAATATATGTTCATGTGAATAATTCAATGCAGATTAACAATAATGTAGGCAGCTTGTCTACAATGAAGAAAGTCCAACAAAAAAAGTCTCTTGTAAGATTTTATTACAGATACCCTCAGGGCGAGGTGAGATTTAAACTCAAAAATGACGACATACGTTCAGTGCGTTCGCTGCATGATTCACCATTGCAAAGTAAATGACTGCACATTCACTGACTGTAAAATAAAGTTGCATTAAAGCATTACACTAATACCATAAATAATTGGATTAAATCATATAAACTGACTTAAAAAACTTCAAATCATATTTTAACCTCCATAGTTCATTTGACCATATCAAAAATGATGAATGGGGTCAAAGATATTGTCAGTGGTGATGATTATGATGTCATTGATGATGTCAAAGATGATGATGTCACATGGTGATGTCAGTGATGATGACAACATTTGGTGATGTCAGTGATGATGACAACATTTAGTGATGTCAGTGATGATGACAGAAGTGATGATTGTTGATGATGTCATTGGTGATGTCACAAATGGTGATGATGTCATTGATGATGATCAGCAACAAATACCTGTTAAAAGTGAGGATTTTTTTATGAGAACAGTTTGAAAAACATAGGCAAAACATAGGAAAATAATAGATTAATATAGAAAGGTGCTGGTTGCAAAATCTGCGGTTGGTGATGATTGACATTTTTCTGTGCCTGCAGAGGCATAGACGAGATTGCTGTATTGATGATTATGATGTAAATGGGTATTATGTTGACATGATGATGTCTAAAACGTAACAACAATGATGAATAAATCATCAGCTACCTGAAGAAACAAACACAACATACACACAAGATACTATATTATTTATTGGTTTGTTTTGTATTTATTTCAGTCGTATAGTGATGTCTGTACAAGATTAGAACCAGTCATTATGGTATGTCTTTTGTGCTATTTCGTAGAGTTGTATACAGGGTTTCTGCTATTCTTTGAAGTCCTTGAAAATCCTGAAATTGAAAACTTGTTTTCAAGGGAGCTTGAAAGCTCTTTAAAATGGGGAACATTGCTGAAATTCCTGTAAAACTCCTTGAATCTGATAAAATTGACATGTTGCTTTTGGATTGAAATGTGTCTCTTTTTGAAAATCGCCACTTCAAACGTCTGCAAACATCAAAAAATATCTTTAAAATAAGCAGGCTTCCAAGCAAATAGGTGCTTTGACTCAAAACCCTTGTGTTCTCATAGAATCCTATGTGTTTTTAACAATGAATGGAAATATGGAAAGTATCTTCTAATGCTTAATGAATCTATCTATTTTTTTTTTTTTAATGCACTCTTGGTAATATTGATTGCAATACTCCTTTGTTATATATTGTCTTGCAGGAGCTGGAGAGACAAAATGATGTGTTAGTCATCTCACACCAGCCTGTTATACAGATCTTGATGGCATACTTCACAGAGCAAACACATGGTATTGTTAATTAACATTGGTGAAGTTTCTACAGCATTCTACAATATTATTGTCATCATCATCATCATGGCATCTTTTTAATCAATTTTATATCATATCATTTTATAACTAGCAGTGCATTAACAGGATTCAGTACTTAATTGAGCATTTACATTGCTTTATGATTATATGATGAAGGTGGTGATGATATAATTATCATTATTAACATTTTATTAGTAACTTATTAGATTATTAATGCTGTATTTCCCTTATTTCTAGATGTGTTGCCTTTTTTGGACATTCCACTGAATACTGTATTCAAGCTGACACCAATAGCCTATGGTATGTATTAAAATGTATTTCATTACCTTGAAGGATACTCCATGGGAGCGTTTGGTCTTGTGTTAATGTTCTGACTGAGAAAAACTGGTTACACCGTTTAATTAATTGATTTGTTTTTTTATTTTTTCGTAGGATGTCGAGTAGAGAAATTTCCAATCACAGCAACATTACAAGAAGCAAACGAAGAGGAGGATGAAATTGAAAAATAACGCTTACAGCAATGAAAGAAAAATCTATACTTTGTGCTCCCAAATTCGCGCATGTCGGCGAAAAATTGATCAGCGGTAATCCTACCAAAAAACGTAAAGCTTCTGAAAATGTGCAAAATAATATATGTAAATATAATGTCGCCTTTAAATATTTTATTGCATAAAGAAATAAGTGCTTGCAAAATTTGTAAGAATGCCAGTGTTTCACAAGGAAAAAAATGAATTCTATACATTTAGGCCAAATAGTGATCTTTTTAAGAATTAAAAAAAAAACGAAAATAGGAAATTTTATGGTAAAGATCACTTGTTAAAAGTGTTTTAAGTCTCATTTTGAGCCTTCAGCTTTTTATAGCATTTTGCTTGTTTGTTATAAAATGAAATTCTTTTTATTGACATTTGATTGGTTTCCCAAATTCAGTTGGCCAATATATTTATTTATCTGACATTTCATTGGTTTTCTCAGTAAATTCTTTCAGTTTGGACTTGAATTTGCAATTCGTCAGTTGTCATTTGATTGGTTTCTTTCATTTAGCTAACCTTTAAATGGCTTCCTTGATATGTCAAACTAACATTTGATTGGTTTCCTTCATTTAGCTGGCCTTTAATTGGCTTCCTTGATAGGTCAAACTAACATTTGATTGTTTTTTTTTCGTGAACTTGTTAGTTGACATTTGATTAGTCTATATGATTTCATATAAAAAACTTATGTTAAAAAAACTTATTTAATTTATACTGGGTATTTTCTATTCAAAAAATTGTACAAATTGTAAAAATTGAATGCATTGTGATATTATGTAAATAAGAATTAAGCAATCAATAACACGTTGTGTATTGTTTTCTCATTTACTTCCATTCAAAAGTTTCTATTTTATTAACATCCTTTTTGAGGATACTCTGGCTCTAAATCACAGTCCATCTGAAAAACAGAAACGAGAAGAAATCGTTGGATGACGGAAAACTTAATCAAACTCTCAATTCGGTTTTGGATATCTTACATGAATCGTGCCCATAAGATTGAAAAGATAAAAGACTGGCGGCCATTTCGGAGGAATGAACAATAGGCAGCAATGAGAAATGGTTTGTTGAAGTCTCTCCAACATGGCCGTTGTGACTTACAGTGAAAACGAAGTATACGTTACCGATTTTGACAGCGAGCACTTAGGTTTTTTACGAATACGCCAGGAGTTTGTCGTTAACATTCAAATCACAGATCAATTTGCATTGTTAAGAGAAGGATTAATAAGAAATTCTCAACAATTTTACAAAAACTGTGTTTGTGGTCCATGCAGACGGTCCAATATTTTTTGCTTACTAGACGCCTGATATTGCATTGCGATTTTTAAACCTTAAAAGGTTTAAGAATGAGAACTGAAACTTGATGTTTGTTTTTCATCCTTAACTATTCATCTCTGAACAATAGTCTCCTTCATGGTTACCTGCGCCAGCTTGAAAGGTAGCCGTGCCTTTGCATMGAAGCGAGACGACCGTTGAGCGTGCAATGATAGAAACCTTCTTTCACACCTACAGACAATTATTTACAGGTCCTATCATTGCACGCTCAACGCTTGTCTCGCTTCGATGCAAAGGCACGGCTACCTTTCAACATAGCGCAGGTATCCGTGAAGGAGTTTATTCTGAGAAATCGGATGTTAGGGACCGTTCATTATTTATTTGTGTAGGAGGCCCCTAAAAAAGTTACCTTTGCTAATTAAACACCCACCCCCCTCCCCCCATAAATAATGAACGGTCCCTTAATCAACGCCATTAAAGGAAGAAGTCTTCAGTGTCTCCCCATACTCCTCCCCCTCCCAAAAAATGGCTAGGCCATACTTACAGCCTCGGTAACAGCACAGAAGACCCTTGCATACACCCACACCTTTCATGACTTTGTCATCAGGACTACAAGTGCTTCTGCACTGGCCATAGACACCGTGATAGATGTGGCACGTGTTTCCTTCAGCTTCGTTCATGTCTATAAAAAAGGGAATTTCATTAGTTTGTGCATCACCTTTACAGCATCCCAAAATTCTCATTAGCCCTAAATTCATTTCTCGCAATATCGTATAGGACCTCCCCTTTGCTATACGGGGACGTGCCGCTGACCAGGGTATAGTTTTTGGACTTGATGTCTTAAACAGGGTTACATTTCACCCGAAATTGTCTTAAACAGGCTCTATAATTTAGATAAAAGACCGATATAATTTTTTTATGTGTCTTGGACAGGGTAATATTTTCATAAGAAATGCCGTAGAAATAGAAATACCATTTCACTGTACCAGGATTAACGTGTTATTAAAAACTTCTTATTGTCTTTGATGGATGTCAGTGTAATTGAAGTTTTGATGGTTGCGGCGTAGATAGCTATTCCTTATTTTTCCGATTTGTCTTGAACAGGGTATGGATTTTTACTTTTTAGTGTCTTAAACAGGGTCAGGGATTTAGACCGCTGGCGGCACGTACCTATCCAAAACGTGGTCGAGTCCCCCCCTCCCCCCTCTCTCTCCCCGGGTTGAATTATTTATAATATACTGTTAAAAGGTTTCATCTTTTTGCGATTTGTCTTCATATAGATAGGCCTAAAAAATCACGAACGCGTTTTTTTGCGGTTCTCCCAACATCCCCAAGTGCTTTATTTCATGATCACCGATAAACGCACGGCATCCAGTCTTTATTGCTTTTAATATAGAAAGTTTTTTTTACGAGTCATTCGCTCGCGAGCGTGCATTTACCGGCGAAATAAATCACGTTGTTAGACCAATCAGAGCGCGCGTACTATTACATCTATATTATAAACAAATAATTACTAAACGATTCTGCAGATATTGCAATTCAAACATTAATGTAGGAAGTTAATCAAATACAAAAACAAAAAAAAAACAAAAAAGAAATATGAAAAAAGAAAAAACTTGAGTCATGGGAATCGAACCCTTGACCATAAAATCGAAAAAAGGTTGGGACGATTCCCCCGAGACATTCTGTGAAGCTGAGGCGGCGAATCGATTTACATTCCGGTTAGAGATTTCGGCTCTTCCATGCTATCCCGATAATTGGTCCTAACTTTGCGCTAACAAAAAAGCCAGTGAGGGAGAAGCTATCCGGCCCCTAGACACTAATGGATAACCCCTTGCACTAACTAGGCAACTATCGAAAGTATAATGTCAAATTGGGGTAGTCTATTCGGTGAAAGTGTCAAGTGGTCTATTATTATGTAAATGAGAGTGGTTCAGTGGCGCACCGCGTTAAGGCGCTGCTTGCAAATCCAATGTAGGTTTGACGGTAGCGGGATCGATTCCCTTGACGAGACGTTTAAAGTGCATATATCGGTTCAGCAATTTTGGTTTAAAATAAAAGTTTAGACTGTTATGAATTATGTTTGGTGGGTTAAACTCGAAAAAAAAAWTTTTTAGTGTCATTTTTTAAGGCATAAAAGTGCTAAAAATGCCTGTTTTGGGCCTCCTGTGCCAAAATTTTGGAGCGATGCAGAAGTCTGGTAACTAACATTTCATGACGTCATTCACGGAACTCGTCACCCAGAACAATATGGTTTCCAGTCATTTTCCAGTCAAAAAACTATCAAAATTCTATTTAATTCCGTACTTAAGAATACGATTCCTCTTCCAAAATGCCCGATAGCAGTAGTCAAAAGTTGTGGTAACATAAACAGTCGTGAAAACGCTATATTTCCTAGCACAAAATTCAGTATTAAGGCGACCAGCGACAAGAGGCAATTCGACGCCGAAAGAGACGAGACATACACATAAGCGCTCGTTAGCGAACTTTGCAWAAACATTTGTGAGTAATTAGAGGAAAACACGGGAARCTCTTCTTTACATAAAAGCTTGAATGAAACCATTTATAATAACACAGTTTGTCCGTCAGGGACGTGGTCCGTCCATATTCATACACTTTGCCTTATAATGCAGGATATGATCGCGTAGCTACTCAATTTTTGGCGA